TTGGTAATGTGTGACTGGGCCTCGTGACACTTTATGTTCAACAAATTGGGCCCCGAGGTCAAAAAGGTTAAGAAGCCCTGGTTTTCAGCAACCCCTTTATCCCAATGATTTAGAATCAAAGAAATAATGCTAAGTGGCTAGCAGTTAGCTTACCCCAAAATGCTCAAAAAGGGGCCTCACACGGTGGTGGGATGTAACAAAGTACAAGTACTTCAGGAACAAAGTACAAGTACTTTTTTATTGTACATTTTTCATGTACGTAACTCATTTGTCTAGCTGTAAAGTAATAAAACTTGGATGCCAGCTGATTTTATTATGTCGTCTCTGATACACAGGTGGAGCCCCAGACCTGCCTGCTGTAACAGGAGGGAAGTTTTCATCAGGGATGATGGGCTGCGTAAGGAACCTGTCACTGATGAACGCTCGGCCAGAGCAGCAGCAGCCCCGGGCCATCAACCTTCAAGCCCATGCTGCTCATGGCGTCAATGTTCAGCCCTGCTCTTCATAGACTGGCATAAACACAGACAAACATACGGACTATGGAGTGATGTCATATACACTCACACTGCTAACTCACTCAAAGAAAATTAACACTCACAGACCTAAAAACAAATCGGTGCTTTGCATCTACCAAAAGAAACAACAACAAAACACAGAACAAATGAGAAAGCTTTACTTTGTGTAGTTAAACCAAAACAAAAGATTTTTTTACACTATTAACAACTCTGCTTCTCCACAGTATTGTTTTCCACATGRAGTAGTCTCACAGGACAACTATACTCTTTTCATTTTCCAGCAGTACTTTTAGCCATGAGAAGATTAAAACATGTTAGGCTTTCTTCAGTGTGCCCAATCCTATGGAGATGAGGAGGTTTTTACAGCACTGATTTTTAGGTTTTTTGTTTTTGTTTTTGTTGTTTTTCGGGGGGATGGGGCTGGGCGGGGAGAGAGAGAGAAACAAGCAAACTAACCATAGAGCTGCTCTTCTGCTTTCTTATTCTGGGCTCTTATACTGTGTGTCTGAGGCGTGTATAGGCTCACCTGTAATAACACTTGAAGATGCTAGGTCTTCTTTCATCTCTTCATGAACTTCTTTTGTGAGTGCGCCTAAACACTTCAATACCTGTTGAGACAAGAGTGCACACGGTCACAGTCACATGCAGCTTTAGTACACAACTCAGGATGAGAAACACAAATGAATTACTGCAAATGTTACAAATATGTTGTTGTTTTTCAACTTGGTAACCTACAGCACTGGTGTGTTGTTTCTGTCTATACTTGTTTTATATATATATAAAAACCTTGGTGCTAATGTCAGACATGAAGATGCAGTATTTGCTTATCTATCACATGTAGAGATCTTTGTTTTTTTCTTCTTTTTTTTTTTTGCTATTTGGCTGAATGAAAGAATCAGTGTAAAACATTTGTGTCTTGTTGATATGCATGGTATGTAGAGTTGATATGATTATGATTTGGCATGCTTTGTTGCCTTACTGAGCTGAGTAGATCTCAAAAAAAAGAGTTGAAAATAGTATCATTTTTATGTGTGATTGTTGATTATATTGTTTTATGTGCAAAACTGCCAGTCAGGTAGATATCTGTGTGTGTGTGCAAAGGAAATTAGTTTGATGTGTGTTTGAGCACTGTTTCTCAGATTACTCCACATTAGTGTGTGTGTGTGTGTGTGTGTGTGTGTGTGTGTGTGTGTGTGTGTGTGTGTGTG